GTAACAACCCCCCTCCCCCCATCCACTGCCCGGGATACCTATTTTTTAAATTATTTTTTTTGGAAAAAAATTAAACCTATGGGAAACTTACAAAAATAATACAATAAACTCATATACCCTTCACCTAGACCAATTTTTAACATTTTGCCACATTTGCCTTTATCTATTTATCTATCTATCTATCTATCTATCTATCTATCTATCTATCTATCTGTAAAACCACTTGAACATAAGTTGCAAACACTTCACCTCTAAATATTTCAGCAAGCATCTCCTAAAAGTAAGTGCACTTCCTTTTTTAACCACAGCACAATAATCAAATTCAGGAAGTTTAATATTTATACAATACTGTAGCCAACACACAGTCCATATCCCAATTTTACCAATTGCCCCAGTGCTATCTTTTATAGTCACTTTCCCCCCTGATTTGGGATCCAATCTAGGATCACATTTTGTGTTTCCTTGTTGTATTTCTTTTGTCTCCTTTCATCTTTTATATAGTTCCTGTGCCTTTTTTTAAAAATTATCTTTCATGTTGACTCTTTTTGAAGAGTGTGGCCAGCTGTGTTGTAGAATGCCCCAGTTTCTTCAGGCGTGGATTCAGGTTACACATTTTCAGCAGGAACGCTCTGCTCCATGAGTGAAGCAGTGGTGCGCTCACATGGGGAGGTCATGGTGTTGGTCTGCCCCATTACTGATGTTAACTTCCATCACTTAGTTTAAGTGGTATCAATCAGTCAGGTTCCTTTACAATAAAGGAAGTTTGTGTTTGTTTGTTTGGTTGGTTGTTGTTTTTTTAATAACCTCTTTGTAATTAACAGATATTTCGTGGGGAGATGCCATCATTCAGCGATTTAATGTTCACCAATGAGGTTTGCCTGAATCTCTATGGTACTGTTAGGGTTGCAAGATGGTATTTTCCAACTATGTAAAGAAAATTCTTCTCTCTTCTTTTATCATTTATTTATTTAAAAAATATATCAGTATGGATTCACATTTTTTTAAATTCAGTGTGTTATATGCTGTTACTTTTATTATTCATTTTGGTGTTCACATTTTCCCCACTTGGACTATCAGAAAGCCCCTTCAAACTAGTTCCTGTTTCCTTGTCTGATATGTCCCCCTCTTTTTTCGAGCACTTCCTTCCTTACTTTGTGGAACAAGTACACGTTTATGCTCCTGCCCCAGGCTTCAAATTAGCTATTTCTTCTGGGAGCCCTAGCTCTTTATTTAGTGGGGGATGGTATTAGAGACCAAAATCCGGGTGCTACGTGTGCTCATTGCTGCTGAGGTGTCACTGCTTCTAGAATCTTTCAGGATATAAAGTTGGGAAGTTATGTATATTCATGAAATGAGTTTATATTGCACCTAAACACTACAGGGTTCTCCCTTGACTTACCCCATTCTGACTTGTATCTTCCTTCTTTCAGAATGAGAACTCTAACTTCCCCAAACATTGATATATTTACACATTTGCTCAACCCTAAGACCCACACAGAACAACTTCTTAACTGTTACCCTAGACCACTCCCAACAACAACAACAGAAAAACACTATTAAGTAAGGTTCAAGAATTCTTTGCAGATCTTTTTGTCTTTAAACTGAGATATACAAGCAAAGTAATATATCTAAAAGTTCCTTGGGGGGCCAGCCGAGTGGCTCAGTTGGTTGAGCTCACTCAAGAGTGCGAGCTCTGAGCAACAGGGTCACCGGTTCGATTCTCGGACCGAGCTGAGCTGCTGCTGAGCTGCCAACAGGTGGCAGGATGGCTCAGCTAAAAAATAAATAAATAAATAAAAGTTCCTTGGAATACTACTTTCCCCCTCCTGTGGTTGTACTATTCATTTGATATGAAGTAAGTTTAATTTATTTTTGTATTCAATTTTAGTTTTCCCCCATCCTTGTTGACTTTATCTTTTGAATATAGAAAATACTAGCATAGTTTCAAAGGTCAAAGAGTGCCACTTCATCTTCATCTTCTCCTTCAGGTTCTTGCCTGCCCCTGTAGGTGATCAACTTCATTTGTTTGTTTTCTTTCCTATACCTCCTTTTGCAATATAAACAGATGCATATATGTGTTCTCATGTACCCTTCTCTTTTGCTTTCAATGTAGCATTCTGTATACTCTTTTGTGCATTACATTTCTTTTTTTTTTTTTTGCTTAGTGATGTAGTCTGGACTATCACTGAACTGCTTGGCAGTTCACAGAGCTTGTCCTCATTCTCATTTCACAGAGGCTCAATACTCTGTCATGTGATGTTTTATAGATTATTTCGTGAATCCTCTATGTAGGGGCATCTAGGTTGTTTCTGATATTTTGCAATTACGAATAATGCTGCAGTGAGTTAACCTGCGCCTATGAGCTTTCATGTCATTGGATGGATATCTTCAGGATAGATTCCTAGGAGCGGAATTCCTGGGTTAAAGGATAAATACATTGTAGTTTTGTTAGATATGACAAAACTCCCCTCCATAAGGATTACGCCATTTTGCATCCCCACTAGCAACGTATAAGAGCTTCTGTTCCCTTGGCCTCACCAGAAGAAAATGTTGTGAAGCGTTTTTCACTTTTGATGATCTGATGCATGAGACACGGTAGCCCCTCATAGTTTTCATCTGCATTTCTCTTACTTTGAGTGATGGAACATTTTTTTTAAACAGGGAGATCATAGAAGGCTTTTCTAAGGAAGTGACAAGGGAGGAGAAATCTAAATGAAGTAACAGAGAAAGACATGGAGAAGTCAGGGGGAAGAGTACTCCAGGTGGAGGGGACAGTGAGTGCAAAGGCTCTGAGGCAGAAATGACCTTGATGTGTTCAAGGGAGAGTGGTGAATTCACATGGTCTAAGTAGAGGGAGCAAGGAGAGACCAACCAGGGATGAGGCTGGCAGGCACCAGGCCATACAGGCATTGTAGTCCAGAGGTCAGGAACGTTTTTCTGAAAGATCCAGATAATAAATATTTTCAGCTTTACTGGCCATTCAGTCTCTGTCACAACTCTCAGCTTTGCCAATACAGTCATAGGCAATATGTAAACAAATGCGCTGTGGCTGTGTTCCAAGAAAACTTTATTTATGGACCCTGAAATTTGAAATTCATAGACTTTTAAAATTCAGATATTATAATTCACATAACCTAAAGTTCATATAATTCTGTGAATTACCCAATTCCACATTTTCATCATCCTGAAAAGAAACCTCACACCCTGTAACAGCCAGTCACAGTCTTCCCCTCCACTCCATTTCCTGACAACCACTAATCCACTTTCTATCTCTGTGAATTTGCCTATTTTGGACATTTCATGTAAATGGAACCATACAATATGTGGTCTTTTGTGTCTGGCTTCTTTCACTTAGCATATTTTCTAGATTCATCCATGTGGTAGCATGAATCAGTACTTCACTCCTTTTTTAGGCTGAATAATATTCCTTTATATGGCTATACCACATTTTGTTTATCCACGCAGTTGATAAACATTTGGGTTGTTTTTTGGCTTTTATGAATGCTGCTACAAACATTTGTACACAAGTTTTAGTGTGAGCATATGGTTCCTGTTCTCTTGGGTAGGCACCTAGGAGGGGAATCGCTGGTTCATCTGGTAATTCTATGTTTAAGACTTTGAGGAACTGCCAAATGAAATTCATGTTCTTTTTACATGCCACAAAATATCATTTTTCTTTTGAGTTTTTTCAACCATTTAATTATATAGAAGCAATTCTTAGCTAGTAGGCCATACAAAAATAGGAGGTGGGCTGGATTTAGCCTGTGGACCATAGCTTGCTGACCCATATTACAGGCAATAGAAAGAATTTAGATTTTTTTCTGGGGAGTGATGAGCACACAAGTATTTGTTTGTGGGATGCTGATAAGGATTACATGGCTTAATTCAGGACAGGGAATTTTGTAACCTCCTTAAGCCATCCTTGGCATGCCTACTGTTTAAAAGAAAGATCATCTTGAGGAAGTGATATTTGCCTCTGAAATATTCTCAAACCAGACCTCACCTCTCCACCTCCCCTTGTGCCTCTATTTCCTCAACTGTAAGTGGAGTTAAAAATGGTACTACTTGAAAGGGTTGTTGGGAAGTTTGAATGAGTTAATACATATATGACACTAAGAGTGGTACCTGGTACAGAGCAAGACCTATTTAAGCTGTTGCTATTATTATTACTATTAATGTTGTTGCTATTGTTATCCATGCAGCCTCAGCTCAGACCTCATCCTCCTCCTCTAGGAATATACAACTCCAGAGTCTCCCCTCCAATCTCTTCCCAGAACCAACCAGCCCCCAAAGGATCTAACACTCTATTCTGGCCCTGTCGTGGCTCTAGACCTTTCATGGCTCCCTAGTGCCTTTGGCATCAATGCTGAGCTCCTCAGCCTGGCATGTGAGGTTCATCATGGTCACATCCCTGCCCCCATTTCTGGCCTTGTTTCTTGTGACTATGGCCCATGTTGTAGCTACATGGGTGGGTCAGCTCAAGCTCAGCCTCCAAGCCTTTGCCCATGCTGTTCCCTCTGCCCAGAGTGGTGTAATGAATATTCTTATTCTTCCCTAGGCCTCATCCTGTAGGACTTGAGCAAAGCCATTCTTCTAGGAAGCTTTCCTTGGCTCCTCCTGCCCTCTGCCACCCTTCCGCCCCGCCCCCTCCCCCCATTGGGTTTGGTGCCTCTTCTGGACTCACACAACTCTGTGTGCTACTAGTTCCCTTACATCACATATCACCATGTATGTGACTATTGACCAACGTCCAGATTTGCCTTCCCCAATTGCATGGTGACCTGGATGCAAATTTGGGGTGGGGGAGGAGGAGGCTGATTCATCTCCAGGACCCCTGCACCCAGGCCAGGCCCAGCATACAGGAGGCTTCAAAAGATGGAAGTTAGTCCAAGCCAGGGCAGGGAGGAAAAGGGAGAGGACAGTAGTGAGATGGGGAGGATCCCGGGCTGGGACAAGGCGTCCACTGCTAATGGACCAAGGGCACCCCTCTGCTCCCCCAGGCCTCTCCTTGGTGGTGGGCTTGGTTCTTTACATTTCCAGCATCAATGACGAGGTCATGAACAGGCCCAGCAGCTCTGAGCAGTATTTCCACTATCGCTACGGGTGGTCTTTTGCCTTCGCTGCTTCCTCCTTCCTACTCAAAGAGGTGATGTCTGTGGGGCCCAGACTCTAGGGTTTTGAATGGGGAGGGGCCTGGGGACCTGATTCCTGGGTTCAGGAGAAAGAGTCGGCTGGGGGTGTGGTCTTTCGTTAAGAGGGAGGTGGTGGCTGAGGGCCTAACCCCTGGATCCTGCGGGAGGAGGGAGCTGGGGACTCAGACTCCTGGGGTCCTCAGAAGAGGCGGGGGGGGGGCCTGGATTTCTGGGGTTGAGTCAGGAAGGGGCTGGGAGCCTGGACACCTGGGGTCCTGGGGGAGGAGGGGACTGGGGTCCTAATTCCTGGTTTCTGGGGAAGGAGGAAGCTGGAGGCCCGGAATCTTGGGTCCTGGGGTAACAGGGAGCCCCAGGGCCAGCTTCTGGGCTCTCTGATCGTGCCTTGCCACAGGGGGCTGGCGTGATGTCCGTGTACTTGTTCACCAAGCGCTACGCCGAGGAGGAGATGTACCGCCCGCACCCGGCCTTCTACCGCCCGCGTCTCAGCGACTGCTCCGACTACTCGGGCCAGTTCCTGCAGCCCGAGGCGTGGCGCCGCGGCCGCAGCCCCTCCGACATCTCCAGCGACGTGTCCATCCAGATGACGCAGAACTACCCCCCCGCCATCAAGTACCCAGACCACCTGCATATCTCCACCTCGCCCTGCTGAGGCCCCGCCACTCGGAGCTCTCCTGCTCCACTTCCTCCTCACCGGTCTCCCTGAAGCGCAGCTCCGCTCCGTCGCGGAACTCCTGGCTCCCACGTGGTGGATGCTGTTCAGGCTTTAGCCCCGCCCCCCACTGTGACCCCGCCCCGTCGCCCTAGCTCCTCCCCCTTCCTGGCCTCTCCATTTCACTGGACCCTCCTTCCAGATGGCTACTCACCCTTTTCCGTAGGGCCTGCCCGCTTCCTCTGGCCCCGTCCCTCCCAACCAATTATTGCCTCCGGCGTTTCCGGGCTCTGCGCACCTGCCTCAGAGCGGCTCGCCTCTGCTGAGTCCCCTAATCTGCTGCCTCCACGCAGGGGTGCTGGGCTGAAGAGTAGGGTCCGGCAGCCGCCAGGAATGCCAACTATCCTCTTCTCCCCTCTGCCCGGACTTCTCTCTTTCCTGGACCAGTCTCACCTCCAGACCTTGAGGTCCTTGAGCGCAGTGGGGGACTTCCTTGCTCCGCCTACACCTCGAGGGTGGGCTGGAGGCTGGAGGCTGCGGGTGTGGTTCATCTGGTCTCCCCCTACATTTCTCTGCTTCCCTGGAGACCCCCTTCTTTCTCATCGACTGGGCTCTTCTAGGCCTCCAGAAGGTTACTTGCCTTTCAGGGGGCGCTGTCCAATCGATCTTGCTTTCTCAGCTGTCCTTAGCTTCTCTTTCCTCCTCTCCACCACTCATCCAAAGCCACTGGGTGCATCCAGCCCCGCCCACCACATGTCAAGACTGGAGACCCTAGGGAGAGGGAATTCCATGCCATTTCCACATCTGTGCCCGCCTCTTCCCCCTTGAGGCTTCTCAAGGGAGGCAGAGGCAGTAGCGGGGGTCAACACCCCCTAAACCTCGAAGTCTTCCATTTTCTGGCACTCCCCCTCATTGAAGTCCCCCTTCCCATCTTAGACCCCCCAACTCTGGCCTCTTTCAAAGGTCCGTTTTTCCTCTTGGACAGATTTGGGGGAGGGTCCCAGAAATTCGCCCACCCCCCCTTATTAGGGGAGAGGGGCGAGGTAGCACAGTGTTGTACACGGAACCAGAAAGGCCCCCGGGGTGG